ATGTTGCTGACTGAGAGCTAAAAGAATCTAGTTGGCCAGTCCCAGGGAGGATAAAACGCTGATTCTAGATCCTACTGCTAGCCATTGATCATCCCTAATACTTCATTTTTATTCGGAATTCTTACATAGTACTAACTAATTATCCTGCACATATTTGACTATTTTGCTTAATTCTGAAAGCTTTATTGTTCAACCACAAAGTTTAAGCCCAGTCGTCTGCACCTTCTTTATCTAAATGGAACGTGATAATCTAAACTCATACGTGGGCACTCATCCTAACTCTACATCTTTTGGATTTTCGTTTTTTTTCGTGAATGTACCTTTATTATTTATCACCCACATGCTAGGAGGAAAACTGATATTTTTAAATGTAGTTTTCATCAAATTCAAATATGTTGCTTTCAAAAGCAAATAAGATAAATCTCCTGCAGTTCTTTAAACATGATTGTCATAGTCTTAGCAATTTATTAATCGTTAAGAATCACTACTCTGTAAATCATGACACTGAAATGTGATGATAGTTTCCAAGAAATCAAACAGTATAATATTTCAGATGTGTAAATTAGTGGGTATGCAAAAAGTAATGAATAAACTGCAATTTAAATCTAACTAGCCTCTGAATAATGCACGTAATCTGGTGAAATTTTATACTGTCAGTTTCAAGGTAAGTTTTCCAATTATGAATGTTGTCAAGCGTTTCCATTTCACTCAGTGTTCAACAATCAATGAAAGTGTTTATTTCATTATCTTTTTCAAAGGTTTTCATGTCGCATTGAATATAGTTTTCATCCTTTAAGGCGACAAACAGAAGTAAGAAGCATTCAGTAATTATCTGACACTGATTAGCGACTTACCAACAGTTCAGACTGCCCACCTCTTCTGAACTCAATTTAGACGCATTTTGGTCGTTCTGTAGACACTCTACCAAAATGACAATTATATTTTTGCTTTATAATTGATTTCAGCCATCTAATAAGTTTTACATAAAGAGGATCACTTACGCTGCTTTTAATATTTTCTGCCAAAAGCTCGATGGAGGTCTGTCATGAAAAGAAGTGATACAAGAGGATTTTAAGAATACGTATCATCAAGAAGTATACAACTCCAAACAAATTACTCATAATCCTTTGAAAAAACGTAATTTTAGTTCGAAAAGAGCATTATTTATTTTAAGATATATAACAAATACACATCAATGAAAATATTTCATTTCCTTGACTGAAAACCTGTGTATACCCTCGATTAATTGCCTGATAATCAAAAAATTACCCATTCTAGTTTTGGTTAAGGCTCTGTTTATCCACAGTAAACTCTCAAGGATTCAGTTCATCAATTGCAGTTTGTTGAATGTTAATGCTTACTGAAAAGTGTCACAAATGAGAATACTAACCACTATTTCAAAAACAGCGTGTGATACCAGAGGTTAAAATGTTTTAGCTTTTAGGTAGAAATAATATAGAAGTACGAGTCACTAAAAAGTTACTGGTAGTCAATTCTTTATGCATCTGAGACTAATAGTAATATCTGCCATGCTACAGTTATAGTGTAAAGGTTTATGATATTATACGACTAGAATCAGTTATGAAGTGATAACTTTGAAATCAAAATAAGATTCCTACATTCCTACAAGAGGTGAATGAACTATTCAGGGGCAAGTATTTATTAAAGGATTTATGGGAAGTTGCAAATTGACATGTAACTCAAGTATATGTAAATTCTCATCTCACTTGTTCTTTAACCTGTATGCTGTTATCCTTTCATTCTTTTTTGTCTTAATTTATACTACTTAGTATTTTTCAGTAGTATGATTCTTTTTTGTAATGTTACTTCATCCATAACCTGGATTCTATCTAAACGTGTCTTGTTCATCGTTTAACATCTCAAGATATTAGTATCCTTCTCGGTTCATGACACTATTAAAATTACTTTTATTGTCTCTTGATATTCTAATTTACCTTCGACATTTCTTTATCTCTTGTATTCATCTTATCGTGGGATATGCGCATCTTTTATGTTCCCTTTAGGTTGGCCTTGGAAGCAGCCTTGCCGATGCACCCTTGACGCACTCTCTGTGAAGTGTTTTGACAGCGATAGACCCACAGGTACTTCACAATTTAAGGTTTATAATTTACTATTCAACACTGTTTATTCATAAAGAACCGTATTCCAGACGAATCTTGTTTTTTGGATTTTATACTTAACTCGAGAGCTTGGTTTGTCCTTGAAGGATGGCTTTGATTCCCAAATTCTTGGGAAGAAATTCACGTGTTTTCACACAGTCAGCTGATTCCAGTAAGGTGTTAAGCGTGGATTAATTTCAGCTATGAGGAAAATAATTTAAACCCTCAGGAAAGTGAACAACAACATTAAAATATGCTTCTAGTCATTTTTACAGTTGAGAATCATGAGAAGTTACTTCTGCATGAAAATGCATTGCTCATAGTCTAAATTATGCTTACATCAGCGTTTAATACGCATATATTAGAATGCAAAAACTAGAAGAGAACTTATTACTTACTTAGGAGTGGTTTGGAAAGCTGAAACGAAATTATTTACTTCCATTTATAATATTGCATAACGGTAGCACAAATGTACTATCAGACCTCTCTCTCTATGTCAGCAGTTAGTGTAGTCAGAAATAAACATCGTGTAGTGTGATGAGTTATCAGAATCCTGTCAGCCTACAATGAACTGCAATTATACACCACTTTATTATTATTGCCATTACTATCATTGTTATTATTCGTAGCAACGGTTAACCGGGATTGAAGATTTCCACCGAGAGCAGTTATAATGAAAAATAATGCAGCCAAATGAATAAATACATAGTGATGATGTCTATAATAACAATGAAAGCTTCATGATTAGGCTTTCTACTTCAGAGAAGACGACACCACCAACATCATCGTTCCTGAGCTACATATATTCTCCATCATCTTAAAATACAACTGTATTCAGTACATTCCATGACTTGATAAAAGATTAATTGTTCATAAAATTTATGAAAATTCTTTTGTACACATGTGTGACTGTACATAAACTGAAATCGTTTGATCAGAATCTATCTCTCACTTGATAGTGAATAAATTCGACAATCCTACTACACATTGCGGAAAATAAATACTGAAAGCCGTCTAGAAAGCCTTCATTAAAAAGTGAATTCTGCCATGACCTAAATTTTAGTGCATCTAAACTCAACTAATTTAATGTTCCATTGATTCCATGGATTGCATTGGAATATGAACTGAACTGAGGCCTGCGTAAATCTTAAGCTACCAAAAGACTTTCCACAGATTATATTCTATCGAATTCTTCCCTTTCAGTCTGTTTTAATCTTTTAGATATTTTCTGAATGTATCATATACTTTTGTACATTCTTAAAATGTTTTCGAACTTTCATTTCTCAACCTAAGAACAAAGCAAAGAAAAACGTTCCGCCGGTTGGGAATGGATTTGTAAATGCTTAAAAATAAACCATATTACTATTATTAAGATACCTGTAAGGGATTGTGAATTTCTGCGTTGGCTGATTGAACTGCTACCATCAAAATTACACTCGATTTTGTGCTAATTTCCGAATCCAGAATAGATGCTAATGTAACACTATCTACCCGCTTCACACTTATGCTCTCAATAATGTTATTATTAACATTATGCAGACATAATAATTATTTATTTTAAAAATATTGTACGGAAAGCGAATTTGTTGAAACATTCCTTGCTGAAAATTCCATACTGTATCATACATGTTGTTTAGAATAAAGCGATTATTATTATTATTATTACTACTATTATTATTCATTATTCATTTCCCGGTAATCGCTGATACAACCACTCAGCTTGTTCCTTACTGATGCATTCACAATATAAAATAATGACCACGAGAATAGGTATCAAGTCTCTAAATGATTGGACTTCTGAAGTTTTATTGTAAAATGCAGCTTAATACCTTATTTTTAAAACTACTGTTGTTATTAATAGTTCAGGAAGGCACTTTGGTGACTATTCATCTATAAGCATGTTTCATCAAAATGATAAACAATATTCATTGGCATCATATGGCATTGTTAAACTATACAATAGAGTTTTTTGAGTTTTCTGTGTCGTAGACAAAGTGGTATCCTTATAAACTGAAAATTCATCATAGATTTGTTACCGCAATGAATAAAGTGAAGGTGAAAACTATTAATCTATGGGTATAAAGCCAAATATCAACATAAAATAAAACAATAATTACAATCAAATAGTTACTAAATTCATCTAATTATAGCTAAGAAGAAGGAGAAGTGAAAACAACTGACATCCAAAGTACAGATAAACAACACTTCATCAAATTGGCCTATCGATACTGTTCTCTACTTCAAAAAACTTAAGATTTAATTTAATATGAAAACTATGTAGTCCACAAATAACACTCAGATGAGTGGTGCAAAAGAAACCTTTAAAGTAGGAATGATGTTTCGAGCAACCATAAGGTAGTTCACCAGAAATCATGAAATTATGCAAAAATAGGTTCAAGAGCCGAAATTCTTTCTTTAATAGGTAGAATAATACATTTGCCGCTATCAACTCTCCAGTTTTAGTAAAAATCTCCTTCAAACTCAAACCAAAGGCATATTTGAAAGGAATAAATGGTTGAGATCTATTCAGTGTTGGTATAAGTACATTTTGCTCATTACGTTAAAGTAAAACATATGTTAAGGAACCATTTCCATTGCATCATATCCAGCTCATCATTATGATATTGACCGTACTTAATGTGTAGATGAAATACACAAAAATGTATTGTTTGGAAGCCCCACTTATTTGTAGCAGAAATATTTCCAATAATCTCACACTTTAATGACACATTTTGTTTTCCAGATGAATATGATCTTACAGCGTACACGTTTGCCATTCTACAAAAGTAATGAATCCTTATTACTACTGCCAATAACCATTCTTTTTCAACTAACACCTTCCAAGCATAATCCTTTTGCTAAATACAGCTTCTCATTCCAGAATTTTTAAAGGTATGCAGAGAAAATGTGTACTGTATAGGACTGTCAACTGACTCACAAACAGTCGAAATGCCTATCTACTCACATATCTCATATTATTATTATCATCATTACATCACAGTGCTATTCCTTCACAACTGCCTTAAATGTAATACCTAAATTCAAACAATCAAGATCACAAAGACAAAGATTTAAGCAAGTTAAAAACTTACTTAGTGCACCAGCCTGAGTTTCTACATTTTATAAATAATCATACAATCGACTTCTGTTAGTGAGTAATTAAAAAGGTATTACATTCACCAGTCAGTTAGACAGTAAAGTTCTTCATTCAAATCGGCTTTGTGAACATCATAGTCACTTGTCGTTTATTCATAGTCTACTTAACTCTGACTGAATGTAACTGGTACATAGAGATTTAGATATGACAGTATTAAAAAAGTGGAACGAAGTTAAAGTCAGTCGCATAGCTATTCTACTAGATCATCAGATAGATGATCTGAATGACTGCAGTTTCACTGAAGAAAAGGACGATAAATTTCTGTCAGTTTCACTTGTGAATCGGGAATAACCCTACAGTCTTCGAACCTAGATTGTCTTCGGATGGTATCCTACGCTTAAATGATATCCGTTTATCAGATATGGATTCAATTAAGCTAAAATTACTCAAATGTCTCACCTTGCACAAGTTCAATAGCAACGAAGGCAATAATTAATACAGTACAAGCAATCAATATACGAAACTGCATTTCCGTATAGATTAGACTGCAAATGTCTGTCGAACAAGCCAAATGAAAAATGCATTTAGCAGCAATGTGTTTATATACAGATTTTTTTAATGTCTGATTGGAAGTTTGTCGGGTATTTTTAGATCATGATAGCTTACTTTTGTATATTGCCTTCTGAAACGTATTTTTGTTTATTCGTATTATAAGTGTAAATATTTGGTGCATATCATTGTGGGCGTAGAACAAATATGTTTTCTTCAGTCCCTAATTTCTCCAAGTGTAAACAAACATTAACAATTTGAGGATATATCTTTTTAAGAGACTTAAAAAGTTGCAACAAGTTCTAAAATACCACTACGTATCGGGGGAACTGATGCCGATTTTTAACCTTGGATCTTCTAGCTCCTCAACAATGCCCTCTTTTGTCACTACTTCTCGTCTCAAAATCAAGCACTTCAGATTTTTTTGGTAAACAAGACGTTTAACAACTAGCAGAACAGAAGTCAGTTCTCAAGATAGATTTCTGTCGCCTTCATCTAACTCTGTGTGTTTAATGCTTCCTCACTTGATAGCCATTTAAACATATATTTTTCCCAACCATATTTAGTGTCACATTATTACCAAGTAATAATAGTTTTGAAACTTCTGTTCAGCAGATTACATGAATGAACACAGAAATTTTGTTGCTGAACAAACGAAATCACTACTGGTATGAAACTATTCTCCTGACAATAAATTATGAGATGAATAGGTATGATCTCAAGACTTAGTAAGGCAGCTCGAAAATTGCCATATTTCTTATTCTAAAGACAGCACTGGACTACATCAAACAGGAGGTATTGTGGCGGTGTTTGCCTATGAAAAGAGTACCAAGTGATTATATAGTATTAATCAAGGTGCTTCAGTTGGAATCACGATACTTTTTACGAGCTTACGGTGAGATGTTATGTTAAGTAGTGATATACCACGATGCTTGTATAGGCTCGCTACCACTACCATTCTCATTTAACTTTCTTTTATATGTCCTAATGAAAATAACACAACGTACCTCTGACTTCTCATGGATTGTCTCACTTTCTGGAAAACAATTGGCTGACTAGGAGTATCTATCAGCCGAGAAATATTTCTTTTTAATGACTTCATTATCAAGCTGTACAGTCTTATTTATACTCAGTAAAGTGACAGGTAATTGCACTAAAAAGTTGCTCAGTCAATATGCAAAATATACAGTCGGTGTAGGTGGTGGTACTTGTTCAAGTGGAAGAGATAGAAAATGGGTCATTGGACAAGGAACCAATTGATAACAAGTGGTGAGATAAGCAACAAGTTCTGTCAAAGAATTATAAAACGGTGATAGTTAAGCTGAAACGTGTAAAATAGGTCAATGATTAAGGGATGAATTGGTATTAAAAAGTGAAATATGGTTCAAATGTTGTCAATGAAGTGAAAATTGGTGACAATGATGATAATAAAAGAGAAGTATACCAAAGTGAACTGAAACTGGCAAAATCAACAAAATGAATTGTTAAGGCCAAGGTAGAGAAAGTGTTTTCACAAAACGTTTTTGAATGCAAAGTTTCGGTTTTCGTTGATGTTCAAGTTGGTTTTCGAAAACTAACTTGGACCGGTCAGCTCACTAACTTTAATAGTTGGGTACCTTTTGGTTGTAAGAGAAATCTCATTCACTCACTGTGTTCCAGAATCTATAAAATATGTTCAGAAGACACAGTGGGTGTTGAAATCGAAACTCTTAGAACAATACTATCTAACAACAAATACCGTAAAAGACTTATTGGTAAGAATCTGAAGAAACGAAGCACTCCCCATCCCATTACAGTCCCTAAGAAAATTTTAACCATGAATCTAGAATTCAAAGGAGACATCACAGCCGAAGTGCTGAAAAGTCGTCTGTCAAGACGTATCAATAGTAGCTTCTATGCTGCTAGACTCAGACTGATATTCTCCAGCCGCCGTCTGATTCGTCACTGCGTGAAGGATAGGCTTCCACTTATGTCCACCTCTATGTATATCTACAAGTTCACATGCTCCTGTGGATCTTTCTATATTGGACGTTTTAAGCGGGTCCTCCAAAAACGTGTTGCTGAACACTACCCGGTTTGGCTTACCACAGGCGAGCACAGGAAAACGACTTCATCCATATGTGAACACTCAGCACCTCGAGATTCATCCTTTAAAATAATTTACAAAGTTGAATTGAACCACTCCAAAGGTTTACGTTTCCACACTTATGCATAGCTGAAGCATTAGCTATACGTGAACAAAAACTGAAACTTTGCATTCAAAAACGTTTTGTGAAACCACTTTCTTTACCTTGGCCCTAACAATTCATTTTGTTGACTTTACCAATTTCAGTTCACTTTGCTATTATTATTATTACTACTATTATTATTATTTGTCCCTTGGGTTCCTAATGGAACATACAGCTTCAGTAGCACGTCTCCATTCCACTCTCTTCTCTGAGATCTTTTGAACCTGGTCCCACGACAGCCCAGAAGCTCTCATTTCCTGCTCGCACGACCTCCTCCATGTCACCCTCGGACGTCCAACTCGTCGCTTCCCATTGGGGTTCCACTCGAGGGCCTGACGCGTGATGTCCTCAGTCGGCCTTCTCAGTGTATGCCCAATCCATCTCCACTCCCTTCTGCATATTTGTTGAGTGATAGGTTCTTGGTTGGTTCGTTCCCAGAGCTCCTTGTCGCTTATTCACATTATTCTGGCAATCCATCTGATCTTCAGTAATGAGCGTAGGTGACGGTTGTTGATAAATGTCTGTAGCCTGTTGAAAATGCCTTTCGTAACGTGCCAAGTCTCTGAACCATACAGAAGCACTGATTTGATGTTGGTGTTGAAAATCCGGATCCTGTTCACGCCTTGTGCTGACTGCAGAAGATCTCCACACTGGTTTCAGGTTAATGAACGCTTGTCTTGCTTTTCCGATCCGGGCTTTGACGTCTTCGTTTGTGCCACCGCCGCCTGTAGTTGAAACAGTGCTGCCCAGATAGGTGAAGGAGGCTACTTCCTTTAAGTTTCTCCCATTGATGGTGATTGGAGCTTGTTGTTGCTGTTGTTGGTTGGGTATCTTCATCACCTCTGTCTTCTCTTTATTCATTTGAAGTCCCGTCTTCGCTGCCCTGCCTCTTCTATCAAATTGTTAGTTTTCGCCTGTAGATCTTCAGGTTTGTGCGACATTAGACACAAGTCATCGGAGAAATCCAAGTCTTCTAGGTTCTTTCCCGCGGTTCAGCGTATCCCCTCTCTCCTCGCTCCTCACTGTTTGATGTATGATCCAATTCACTACAATCAGAGATATCATGGGTGATAGTAGGCAACCTTGTCTTACTCCTGTCTTCACTTCAAAAGCATCACTGAGCTTCCCATTGTGAATTACTTAGTATGTGGAGTTTTCACATAGTTGTTGAATGAGGCGGATAAAGGTTTGCGGTACTCCGTAGTAATGAAGCAGTTTCCAAATTACTTCTCGGTTGACGCTGTCAAAGGCCTTCTCAAAGTCGATGAAGTTGAGGTAGAGAGCTGATTGCCATTCTATGCTCTGTTCTATGATGATACGAAGCGTTGCAATTTGGTCTGCACATGATTTGTACTTCCTGAAGCCTGCCTGTTCCGGTCGTAGTTTTGAATCCAGTGCATCTTTAAGCCTCTCCAGGATGATGCGGCTTAATATTTTACTTGCATTGGGTGGACAGGAGAGTGATTCCGCGCCAGTTCTTGCAAACACTGAGGTCTCTTCTTAGAGAGTTTGACAAGATAACCCTTCTTCCAATCACTAGCCAGGTACCTTCACTTCCTTCCACACCTTCTGCAATAGTGGTGTTTTGTGAGCATGTCCGCTGTTGTCTTTGCATCTGCTCTCAGTGCTTTTGGTGGGATTCCATCTGGTCCTGCTGCTTTCCCACATTTCAGTAGCTTTATGGCGTTCAGAACTTTGACTTTCGTTGGGGGATTTATGTTCACTGGTAGTTCTGTGGCTGCAAGTGGTATTTCTGGACGAAGTACAGGTGGTGGTCGATTGAAGAGCTTTTTGAAGTAGTCGGCCCATCGTTCCCTTTGTTTCTCTTCTTTGGTGATTAGATTTCCTCCATCATCTTTTATTGGTTTCCCAGATAGTAACCTGATTATTTGATACAACATTGTCAGGTCTCTCTTACCTGCAGCCTGTTTTGCTCCACTTGCCAGTGTGTCGTAGAAGTGTCTTTTGTCCTTATGTGCACTCTTCTTCACTTCTTTGTCCAGTGTTTTATACCTCGTGTCCAGTTCCTCTTTTCGTTGTGCGTCCTTGCACTGCACTGATTCATCTTCTGCTTCATCATTTCCTTCTCCCTCCTCTATCAGCTTCCATGTATCCATCGAGATCCATTCCTTGTCTTCTTTCTTCTTCCTTCCTAATATGGTTGTGCAGGTTTCTTTCCACATCTCTTTCAAAGACTTCCAGTGTTCATCCACACAGGTTTCTTCACAGATGCTGCTCGATATCTCACATTTTGTCTTGGTGGCTGGCGTGAAGATTTCCTTTGTACTTTCATCCTTCAGTTTCTGAGTGTTGTACTTGAACTGCGGTCTATCACCAGCTTCCTTGAAGGCTTTTAAATTGATTTGGAAGGTTCCTTGCACTAGACAGTAAGTGGTCTGAACCTACATCTGCTCCTCTTCTTGACATTGTGTCAAGTAGGCTGCGTCTACACTTTCTTCACATTCAGATGAAGTCAGTCTGATTTTTAGTGTGTCCATCTGGTGAAATCAAATCCACGTCGCTTTGTGGATATCTTTGTGCTTGAACACAGTGCCTCACTGCAATCACCAAATAGCTGAATGCACACAATTCTGCAAACAATTCTCCATTCTCGTTCATCACCTCACCAAGCGCTTCTCAACCCATGGTTAGTTCTCTTCCCTTGTTGTCCCCTCCCAGTTTGGCATTCATGTCGCCCATTAGAATTTTTATATCGCCAACTGAGGTCTTGTCCATCGTTGATTGAAGTTGT